GAGGGTAGTATCAAAGAATGATAAATTTAAGTATGCCAAAGGAAATTTATTTAGTTTTGTACTTCAAGATAAAGATGGGGCTGAAATTAAAGCCACTTGTTTCAACGATGTTTGTGATGAAAAATTTGACCAAATTAAAGTTGGAGAAACTTATTATATTACCAAAGCTGATTACAAACAAAGTAATGGGAAAGGATATAGAAGTGCTAAGATGATTGATTTAGATATGATTATTGGTAAATACACTATAATTCAAAAAAGTTCGGATGAAGTACCAATGATTAGTTCTATTGTCCCAATTGCTGATTTAGTTGAATCACCTGTCGATGCTACTTATGATATTTGTGCATTTTTAGTCGATAAAGGACCAGAACAAACATATAAAAATGAGAAAGCAAAAGTTACATTAACATTTATGGATCAATCAAGCTATGCTGTTGAAGTAGATTTTTGGAATGAAGATATTGACAAAACAAAAGATATGGAAAATGGAGTTGTTTATGTGTTAACTTCATTAAAATTAAAAGAATTTAAATATAAAACACTTACTGTTACTAAGGCTACTAAAATACTTTCTAATACGGATATTGAACAATATGACGAAGCATCTTTAGTAAATAAATTTATTCAAGAACATACCACACCTGAAGGAATTACTGTAAGCGATTTAAGATATCTTGCAAATGAGACTACAGTAGAATTTAAATCAGGAGATATAAGAACAGCTGACCAATTATATTGTTTAAGAAAACTTGAAGAAAAAACAAGTGAAACTTCAGAAGATGTTAAAGCAAATGTTTATGGATATTTTACTATGTTTAAAGTAGATAATGGGTTTTGTTATTTATCATGTCCTGATTGTAAAAAGAAGATTGTTGAAGGTTCTACATTTTGTGAGAAATGTCAAAAAGATATTCAACCAATGAGAAGGTTTATTGTTCGTGCAAGTATTGCAGATTCTACTAGTAGTATTTGGGTTACTATATTTGATGAAGAAATGAAAAAAATTATTGGAAAAAGTGCTGATGAAATGTATGAAATAAATGAGCAAGATTCAGAATTATTTGAAAATTTATTTAAGCAACTAACATTTATTGAATGTAGATTCCATTTAATATGTAAAAAAGATGAATATAATGGAGAAACAAGAACACGATTTACTGTAAATTTCATTCAAGTATTAGATAATATTGCTAGTGGAACTGAAGAAATGAAAAGTTTAGAAAGAATGGCAAATGATATGAAGAATGGAATTATTGGAATAGAAGAAGAACATTAAAAAAAACATTATTTCTTTTTTAATAAATTTAATTGAATTAGAAATTAAAAAATATTAAAGAATTTAAATTTAAAAGAAAGAACAAATAATTATCTATTAATAAAACCAATTTGTGCACCGTCTGTACTAGGATGACCATTTGCAAAAGCAGTTGGATTAGATTCAGTGCGTGTGTATGTAGTAAAGTTTGGTGGGTTGTCTTCAGTTTCTGTAGAATCATTTAGTTCAATTTCTAAATTTTGATGAAGTTCAACGGTATTATTATCTATATTTTCTTGTTGAATTGGAGAATAAAGTAGTGGATTAACTGCCCATTGTTTTATATCGTTAGGAGATATTTCATTAAATTGTTCACAAACTAAAGTACCATTTTTTGTATAAAGTTCATTTTTTTCTTTTTTAATCTCTACTTTTTTTATCATAATGTCTTTATCACTTTCATTTAAATCTTCAATAGTATCACTTTGTCTTTGGACAGTTGTTTTTTCTTTTTCTAATTGACGTTTAATATCACTATAACTTTCTTTACTTTGTTTTAAGTTAGTTCGACTTATTATTTCTTCTTTATTTTTCATTATTGATGCAACAGCAAATCCAAATTCAGTTCCTTTTGTAATTAATTCTTTTGCTGAATATGTTTTTGATCCAAATGTTAAAGATGATACTCTAACTAGTCTTGTAGTTTTGTGACACGGTCTTGTTTTTTTTTCACAAAAAGTATATCCACGTCTTTTTAATAATGCCAAAACACCATTAGCAAATTTAGCCTCATCATTTCTTTTTTGTTGTTTTACTGTAGCTGTCGTATCTAATTTTTCAGTTTGACAAATTTCATGAGACATGTTCATAATGTCTTCTTTGGAATAAATGGTTTCTCCATCAATAAGCTGACTTGGAACAATCATTTTAACTGTTTTAGTTGCTCCTTTAGTTCGAGAATATTTCATTTCAAAATGAAAGTCTGTGATTAAAATGTCTAAAAATGAATTTGTTAATGCAGCCTCCTGGGTTCTTGATTGTTGTTTCTGTTTCTTTAAATAATCTTCATCTTTCTCAATATTCTTTGGTCTTGGCATAAATAACACTTTCAGTATTAAAAAAGATCTTCCTGCTATTCCTCAATTTTTCTTTTTTATTAATTTTTATTTTCAATAAAATATGAAAAATAAGAAGATTCTATTTATTGTTTGTTGAATTTTTAAGATCATCAATTTAAGAAGAACAATAAGAAATTATTCCTTGTTGCTTATATTTATGTATTATTCATTCTTATTGTCTTAATGCTTTTCTCTGTTATCATAAAAATAGTGATGCAATGAAGTTAAAATTTTAATAACATGTTGTGTTTTGTTCTTCCTAAACACTCAATTTTTAAAACATTTTTATTAGAGTGTTATTTTATTTATTGAATTTAACGTTAATAATCAATTAAAACTATTAAAATTTATTCAAAAACAGTTTACTGGAAATGAGACATATAACTAATAATACCTCTTCAATTTTTTTTCATATTCAAAATATGTCTTTTGTAATACATAACTTAATAAATAGAAATAAATTAAATTAATCATAACATATAAAGGATTATTAAAAAAAATATTAACTTCTTAAAGTAGAATGTTTAAAATACTTTGTAAAAAAGCCATTTGTTATGTTATTTTGTAGTTAATACTAATCTATTTCAAATGGTAAAAAGAGTTTCTCTCATAATACATATTATAACAAGAAAGGAATAAAAAAATGAATTGTAGACATTACTATTAATGTTATGAATGAATAGATACAACTAAGTCTATATTTGTGAAAAAAAAAAGATGATGATGTTTTGACAACTTGCACCAACACAAAAAAGAGGTTAGCTAGTATGAATAAGAAAAGACAATGAAAGGTTTAAAATGATAAATAGAATATCAGAACAAATTGGAATGGGTTAATGTTAAAGACAAAATTAAGTTATGACGAATATCAAAACTTTTATACCAAAATATATAGTAATTTATTGATAAATATATTGAAATTATATCAAAAAAAAACATAGATTACACCAAAATAATATCAAATGAAATATAATAAATGTTGTGGATGTTTAAATTAAATATGAATTATAGAAATGATAGTAAAGAAAAAGAAACGAGTTGAACATCAGAAAATGACAAATGATATAATAAAATGAATAAGAGATAATACCAATGAACTAATTTATATACTCTTTTATTCAATTAATGATAATTAACATTAATAATAACGAATAAATAAAGGAAAAAACTAAAAAGATAGAAAAAATAAACTAAATTAATAATAAACTATAGTTGAAATAAATAAGAAGTACAAAGAAATACTGAGATAATTGTTTTAATCCAAAACCATTTTTTTAATGAAGTAATACTACAACCAATAACAATAATAATGAAGAAGACATTAATAAAGAAATAATAATAAAGTTGAATCAATATTTCTCATGTTTAGAAGTCATTTTAAAAATAAGTTTCTTGAGTTTAAAAGAGAAAACAATAATCATTCTTGACTATATATTAAATGAAGTTTGAATAAATTTAAATTATAAACCTTTAGAGAATTGATAAATAAAATTCATATAAAAAAGTAAAAAGATTGGTAAATAAACATTAATAAGTGAATAATACGAAATATAAATTAATACACATCCAAATAAATATAAATATTTAAAATTTAAAGAAGGTGTCTTAAAAGAAAACCATTCTTAAAAATAACTCCAATTTCAAATATAATAATAATGAATAAATTAATAAATTAGGTTAATGAAGTTAATAAACGTGAAAAAAAATATAAAAGGTTATATAAAAGAACAGAGTAAACAATAAAAATAGATTAAGAAGTATTATAACAGTTATTAGTGTATATAATTGTTTAAGTAACTTAAAGTAAAGAACTTTTGTTGATAGAGAGTTTAGGATTAAAAGATGATATTAAATAAACATTCTTTTATTAATTAAACTAAAAATATAACTATTTTTTAATTATTCTAATTACTTCATATTCATTCCCATTTGATTTGTTATCAAGTAATAATTACATACTTTTTACAACTGTATTATTTTTGTTAGTCTTTTTTTTTCTATTATTATGTTTTAAAGATTTTGTATGACGTACTATTTTTCTGTTTCTACAATTATGGGTAAATTTATAAATTAAGTTATTGTTGATTGCACATATCTTATTTGTTTTGAATTAAAAAGAAATAAAATAAAAATAGATATGTTTCTTTAAAAAAAATTATCTTTTAAGCAGAATAAATAGAAAATACTACATCAAATAACCTCTTTTTAGTTTGTATCCAGTTTTTTATTTCACCTACAATAACTTCCCTTTTATCAAATCTATTTTGTTTTCATTCTTTGTTTTCATTTTTATTTGATTAGATATATTCCTCTATAAATATTTTTTCGTTTAAGTTATTTTTATTCAAGTTGATAAAAAAGGCAAAACAAATTAGATAATTCTGACATTTATGGTATATTGTTAATGGAATTTAGTTAATAATAATTTGGAAAAAAGAGGAAAAGTCAATGAGTAGAATGAATGTATGCACAAGTATGAGATAAAAGAATAAAAAGAATATTTTTAGCAAAAACGGATTAAAAAAATAACCAGAGCAGTGAATTAATTGAAAATAAGTTACATAATATAAATAAAAATAGAAGAATTTAATGGGGTTAACTGATAAAGAATAAATCAAAAGAACATGTTACGCTTTGTACTATTCCTTGTTGTTACTTTTGCTAAAGAATCCCTGGTTTTTACTGAATTAAAAAACGAAGATGGTGATGCTGTTGGATTTACAGCAATAGAATTTGATATGTGTTATTATTATAAAAATAACATATCTGTGTATTTTACTCATGATGGAGATATGGTTACAGTCAGGTTATATAACAGTTCATCTTCATGCTCTGGTGTTAGAATAGAACAAAATTTAAATATACATGATGACGCTTTGAAAAATTATTGTGAAAATCCAATTAGATGCTCTGTTGAGATAAAAAAGCCACCAAAACATATTGGATTCCATAGCTTAGTACAAGATGATAAGAATTGTACACATCGTGATAATACAATCAGAGCATATTATACTGGTAAATGTTATAAATGTAATGTGGGTAAAAATTATTATTGTAATTACAATGAAGAAAATGGGTATATGTGGGAAAATGTTTATCAAAACAATAAGTGTACTAGTAAAGAAAGAGTATCAAGAACAAATCAATGGGAATGTAACGTTTGTAAAAATGGTTTTATGTTCCAATGTGGTTCAATGTCAACAACAGTTATTTCTATCATTATTCTTCTTTCTTTAGTCCTTTAAACTTTAAATTATTATTACTTTAAATTATTGTTTATTCTTTCCATAAAATAGGAGGTTCATTTTCTTATCTTTGGATATTTAAAATAAAACAGAGATTTTTTTCTTTTATTGCTAATAATTTTCAGACTGTCTTTAAAAATATTTTTGATTATAATTTTTACTTACTCTTCCTTAACAATACTTGTTAAACATGATAATGTCAATACCTTCATAAAAAAATCTCATTAAAGAGCCTTTTTGTTTGTCTATTAAACTCAATATCAATTAATGCCATATCTTTTTAAACTCTTTTAAATATTTGTGTTACATAATGACCCTTTGTTTAAACTTTTCCTATTTTTAAATTATTAGACTAGTAAAAAGTAGTACATGAGATATATTTTAAGAACATCAGTAATACTAGCCGTACAAAGTTCTTTCAAATTAGTATTTAATTACAATGCAAATACAGCAATCAGTGTTATTACATTTATTATGCATTTAAATAGAATAGCATAGTGAGGAACCAGAAAATCAGAAAAATATTAAACATTCAACAATCTCTAAAACAAAAAATATGAATTTAAATTTGAAAAAAAATAAATTGGTAAATGATATTGTATCATTTAATCCAAAAATAAAAATAAACAATACAACACAATTATTAAACTTAGACTGAAAAAAAAAATAATAGAACATCATTCCTGACTTGTTGAATGTAAAAAAACATAAAGCGCTAGTATGTCTTCTAAACCTAAAAAGGAAACACTGATACAATAATTTTGTTTGTAATTGTTTGACTTATCTATTTAGTTATTAATTATTTTCTTGAATGTTTTTTAATTAAATTAACCTAAACTTAAAAGAATTTTATTAAAAACAAAAACAAATTCTTAAATGAGTTTATCTTTATAATAATGATTCACTTTATATTAATTTATTGAAAAGATGTTATCAATTTATAAATAATTAAATATATAATACTATATAATGATAAAGATTGATTAGTAAATAACACAAAAAAATAACACTTAGATATAAATTAATGATGTTGTGTTTGATATAAAAGAAGAACCATCTTTCTAAATAAAAGGGTGGTAATCTCTGAAAAGTTTTATAATGAAAAGCTTTATCTTTCCAAAAAATACTCCAAACAAATAAAGGTTAGGTATTTGTTTATTATTGGAATAATGATAAAAATCAAAAAGAGAGTATTGTCTCAACTACTTAATGATGGTATTCGGATAAATACCTTATTTTTCCCCATTTAATTTGTTAGTATTGCATTTACTCAGTAAGAAGTACAATTCTTGAAATAATTAAGCTCATATCATTTTTAAACGTTTATTCTTTGTTCAGAATATACTATTATCAAGTTTATTTTGACACACTATTAATATTATCTAAATAAAAAAAAACAATAACTGTCTTTAGGTTAAAGCAACATATATAGAAATAAACACTAATTTTTAAAAAAAGAAATAAGAAATTAAGAAGTTTAATGTAATTCTAAAGAAATCTATATTTATGAGTCTGTTTTGATTTGAACAAAGATTTCATTTTCATCATCACAGAATGGAGTTAATGTAGATTCATGGAATGCTTGAACAGATAATGTTTGGATATTATTAATCACAATGACAATATGTCTGTCAATAATAAATGAAAGGCAAACATAAAAACAAATAACCATGAAAGAAGGCAAAGTGACAGTCCATGGATTTGTGAGATATGATATTCCAATAATGGTCAAAACACTGAAACTAATCAGATATAATGAATATTTATTAAATTTACTAAGAGAAATGAATATTTTTTTATAGTAACTCCAAATGACTTAATAAACAACAAACAAAGGCAACAAAGAAAAACAACATAACAAAAAAATTAATGAAGAAATAACCACTATTCCTAAAATTCCCAACTTAATAATAACTGATAAAAAGATATGAGGAAGATGAACAAAATTTAATAAAACCAATGAAAGTGTATAATGGAAAAATGAATGCAAAAGATAAGATTGTTGAGTTAAATGAATATTTTCAAACGTTATTTGAAATGGAGAA